GGATTACACTTAATAGCACGTTTTATATCACACAGCGTGCCACTTTCTGGGCGCAGTGCCCTTGTTTTTTTTTTTTTTTTTTTTTTTTTTTTTTTTTTTTTTTTTTTTTTTTAATTATTATTTAATTTTTTTATACAAGTTGCATCCGAATTATTAGCTCACATTTCACAGTCCTCCTGGAGTGTTCTGTGTTGACCCCATTAAACCTGACTGTCCGCGGGACGCACAGAGCTCCGATTGGTGCCAACTCTCCAAATTACGCACACATTGTCCGATCGTTCAGAGCGCACGAGGGGGAGGGCTGATGGGTTTTTTTAGGACTCCGCAGGCAGGTGTGGTTACGCGCGCGCGCCTAGGCGGTCCAGAGAATTAAAACTTCATTTAAACCTCAACGTTGTTTTGTTTGTTTTGTTTGCTTGTTTGTTGTCCGCCGTAAACAGGACCCGTTCTCAGAGCTCCGAGTCCGGAGCGCTGCGCGGCGAGGGGAGGGAATCCCTCCAGAGTCTGACGCTTCCTTTTTACCAAGGAAACCCACACGCGCTCTCTGACGCAACTGCCCATTTTAGGAAACATGCGTCAATGGGCCGAAGAAAGTGAGACAAAATGGTGAACTCCAGAGCGACCAGTGACGTCCCTTCAGCCCGAAACAGAAAACAAAGCTCCCGCAGAGACTTCTCTCCGCTTCAGCTGGAAATCAGTCTCTTTTTTTTTATCCGCGTCTCCGCTGTGAGGAAGGTGGTCGCAGCGGATCTCTCTCCGTCCCCGGCTGCCTTATCCAGAAGCGACCCCTCCCCGTAGCCGAGTTGCAACGCCCAGGCGTGACGTGGGCTGTTTCGTTGGTGTTGAAAAGCCGTCGCGCTTCTTTCATAGTGCCATTGAAGTGAGTCATCTCTAGGAAGTGGGGGGAAAAAAAGGGGGGGAAAAAAGAAAAAGAAAAAAAAAAGTTCGGAGTGTTCCGTGAGCAGCACAGAGTTCAGAATAGAGTCGTGTTGGGAAAAGGTGGCGGAAAATATTCAAAAAGGTTCAAAAACAAGCTGGAGGTTTTTAAAGCGACCTAAACCTGCGTGAGTCACTCGAACTACAGGTTCTCTGCTGATTTCAAGTTCAAGTTGGCGCACCTGACAGAGTCTTTACAGTAGTTTACCTGCGGATCAGGATTTTTAAAAAGCGCAAAAAAAA